ATACAGTAAATACCTTAAAGCTGCTACTTTATAAAATGTGACTAGAGTTTTCCGAGGCACTGCGTATCCACTGAAAGGCAGCAGTGCTGGGGAAGATAAAAGTGAAGAGATGACACGTAATACGGGTCATTAATGGGATTTGGACCCTCAGAGTAGCGGGGACACGCTTTGCCTCTTAGCCCATTGAGCCGTGAGGACACCCCAAAATGGTGTTTTATCTCAGGCCCCATTGAGAGCAAGTATTGAGCTGACAATCCTCGTCCTCCATGGAGGTGGCCTTTTACCTCAGCCTATTGTAGTCTGTGACTAGCTGCCTGCGCTATCTAGAATCTATTGATTCCCACTTCATCTGGACCTGAGCAACCGAGGGAGAGGAGAGAGATGAAGAGGAAGCAGTGAAATACTCCTTAAATAGTTAAGATATTTTTTGGGGGGAGGGGCTGGGGGGATGCAGGGGGGATATTTCTGACAGAACTACTAAAAGCAGAAAGAGGTTTTCGAAAGAATTATACAGGTGTCCACATCTGTATGAGCACAAAGAAAGACCAGGGATGGCTATTGTGCGAAATCCATACTTATGAAATTACAGAGCAAGGAATGCCAAATAAGTATGGGATGGTAGGGGAAGCAGAAAGAAGTGAGAGAAATTAGAGCATTTGATAGCGTGGATTAAAGGGAAGGGATAAAAATACAAGGACAGGACGCGGTGAAGAGAAGACCACACGTCTTTGGTCTCCACTCTTCCGTATGATCCGACTTCCTCCTCCTTACCATCTGCTGTGTGTAATGGCCCATGGTTGTGTTTGTTTGTGGGACTTATCCTGTTATTTTAGGGTTTTAAAAGCCTGGCCAAGGACAGGTTTCGTTTAAACACATCCCGAGATTCACTTGGAACTTGAAAAGCATGTCAGACATGAAGATGTTCTGTTTTTGTCGATACGGAAGCACGTTTCAAACTGTGGTAGAGGTACAACAAGTGGTACTACTGGTGTTACTTGGGTGGGATTTTAGTAAAAATGTTGGTGTCTGAAAGGGAAATATGAACAAATTAACTGTGATGGTGAGCTAAGCTAATGTGTCAGCTACACAAAAAATGTGCTAATTTGTTATTTTTGCAAACTATGTCTTGAAGCAGAACAATATGTCTGCATTCAAATATTAACAATAGTTTCATTTTATGAACCCCTGGCAGCTCAGTGTGAATGTGCCAAATAGGAGCCAATCAGATGGTGTTGTGCATTCTGCCTCAATTGGTTTAGTAAGGTAGCATGTAGCAACCTGTTTAGTTGTTGTCTTTGAGGCAGTACAAAGAACAAAGATTGTGCTTTGCAAGATGTCTTTAAGCAATAATTTATTTCATAAGGCAAGTTAAAGATCTGGTGAGCTCCCTCTATTGGGATAAAATATAAAATAGGTCTTTGTAAAATCAAAAATGGTACTAATAATTTATTTTTGCATCTGCATGTTAATTAAATGAGTCTTAGGAGGCCGCTCAAGCAGCTCCAACTTTTAACTCTAACTCTGATTCTTGGGTTCAGCCAGGCAAATTATTTAGTTACTACAGTTGGTAGTGCATACATTGAACAGATGACGGATGGACGACCTGAACAAAACCAGTGATTGTCGCTTGGCGTCGATGTAAAGAAAGAAACGTTGCACCGGCGAGAAGAAGTGAGAGGAAGACACTTTAAAAGATGGGTGGAAAAGGAAATGGAAGATGCAGAGAAAGGATTGAGACAGAAAGAAAGACGGACATTGAGAGAAAGAGAGATGAGATGATCCATCTTGGCCCATTAGGCCTATAGTCCATCATTCTTGTCATGAAGGGAAACACCTTCGTCCTGTCCTCCATCCATGCGTCCATCCAGCATTCATTTACTCTCCAGCTGGTGTTTCACTGAGGAATCTCCCAACTAAAAAGTCCTGTCAGCCCTATTTTCTCGACTCTGTCTTGCCTCTGCTCCCCCCTCCGCCCTCCACCTTCGCCAACTGCAGTTTCGTCCCTGCGCTTCCCAAGATTAAACGCTCCCTTGTTGGACCACAGATTGGAGCCGTGAGGTCTAAAGCAAGACATGTGGGAAGAAGTTGTGTGTATGTGTGAGGCTCGTGGCCCAACATTAATCATGTTTAAGGGGCTGACAAGCTTGGTGTGGGACATCGCATCACATCAACACTCTTCCCTTTCCTGTTGTTCCTCTCCCTCGTTCACCGGATTTATCTCTCCGCTGGCCTCTCCCCATCGCTCACTTCCCTCTGGGAAAGGATGAGAAAGAAAAACAGAGAAGAAATGTGTAGAATATGTGAAATGGATGAGGAAAGTGACTGGAGATGTATTTGTAAAATGTGCATTTTGCATTCACTTCAACGCCTTTGAGTTCTGGGGGGGTTAACAACTCGTGCAAGATACAAAATAAAAACCAAAGTGTCTCAAAGTGTTCTAACTTGCTTTCTAACACTTATGTTTTAATCAGGGGAAATTTGCATCTCTTCTTCTATGAAGAAGTTTGTTTATTTTTCCATGAAAGGACCAGGTCATCTTTAAGTTATGGTTCTTTGTTTTTAATCGTGCAACCTAAACATGTTTCCCTGGTACCTAAAAAAATTCAAATCAGTTTACAGGTGCACGTTTTACAATCCTTCCCTTTTCATCCTCTCTGCTTGTTTGCTGGTTTAAATCTGCATTTACATTTCAGCATCGACCTCTGGAAAGAAAAACTCATTTATATAGGACGCATTATAATTCAAAGAAAAATAGCTTCACGTTGAAATGCAAGAAAAATAAATAAATAAGCCATAACTGCTGAATACATATTTGATTTTTTTTAGCACTACAAAAGCCTGAAATTGCACAAATGGAGGGTTTTGTACTTTGAGCACGCGTTTGCGCAAGTATTTGTCAGGAAAATTTTGGATTGGGTTAGATGGAGCCCTTGTTGGCTGCAGACTCGGGATTGCAGTGGATTCTCCAGCCTGACTCAAATTATCTTGTCAATAAAGGACGGTGGGAGTGAGAAGCAGAGTGAAAGAGTATTCATACCTTTTTGATCTTTTCCACACTTAGGTTATAACTCCAAACATCAACGTATTTTGCTGCCATTTGATGTAACACGTCACAACAAAGTACCATATACTCTCATTTTAAACAGTGTCACTGTTTTTAAATTGTTTTATTCTGTTTTATAATTGTGTGTATGTATTAATCAATTTTGTTTTGTAACCAGGTTGCTGTGTACTGCAGACTTCTGCCCAGGTCCCCCTTGAAAATGAGATCTAGATCTCAATGGGGTTTACCTGGTTAAATAAAGGAATAAAAATAAAAAAATAAAAAAATAAAAATTGTGAAGCGGAGAAAAAGTCTGACATGATTTCTAATACTTGTACAAGTAAAAATCAAAAGTTGTTTTATTTTTCCCTTGTCAGACAAGATTTCTTTTGCTTCTGGCTTGTTTAAGTAAAGGGAGAAAAGCTTTGTATAACCCCACATTCTAACGAAGAAACAATAACTGAGTGGGTATGTCGTCTGTTCAATCTACATGCAGAGTATATGATATATATGACACGCACATGTACGATTGTGATGGTCTCGGTGCACAAGTCAAGGTGGGAGTCCTCCCAACCCGACTCTCCGTGTTGCCATGGTGACAAATAGTCTAAACAGGATGTCCTGGCTGAGACGGCGGGGGCCCTTTTGTTCGCGGGCTAAAAAAAAAGCAGCATTTGATTGGCTGAGCACTGGAAATCAGGAAGCATCCCCCAAAACGAACCACCGATACAGTTTCAATAACAGCTGCTATTTTTAGGCAGCCCAGACAGCAGACCGGGAGGTGAACTCTAAGGGCCGCCGTACGCCTACGAAACACAAAGGGTGCTGGACGACCGATGAAACGCATGCTGACACACAAAACAGGTGGGCCCCACCCTGCTGCCCTGCTGATCAAGGACAATGAAGTGAGGTGGTGTTGGCAGACTCTATGCAGCATTATCTCATCCACGGCAGACACTTCTTTAAGTCCCCCTCCCTCCCCATGCACCTCCCTCTCACTTTGACCTCAGAGCAACATTACACAATAAAGTCTGTGCTGCACTCTGGTCCGCTTTCTGTGTGAGTAATCTAATGTATGTTCACTTAATGTCTGGGACTTTATAGAGTAAGGGTGGAGGGGGGGAAGTGTTTTCACCAACAAAGGTTATTCTGAAGGTGCTGGATTGTTTCTCCAGTCACTTGATTTTTTTTAAATTTAAAGTGCTGTGCACAAGTGCTGACAATCCTCGAACTTTTTCTTACTTTCTCATGATGCATACCACGATGTAGCAACGAATCTGTATATCTTTGTGGAAGTATCTCAAGGTCAACTGGGTTGGGTCCATTAGATCCCTATTGTATCAGGTTCTGGACTTTGACTGAACCAGTCTAAGAAATGAAAATGCTTTGATCTGAGCCATTCCATTGTAGTTCTGCTTGTATGTTTAGGATTATTGTCTTGCCCCCATCAGCTCAAGATTAGCTTCTGTATGCTGTCCTCTACATGACTTATGGCAAACTCTACCTGGGACGTCCAGTCTAGATTTATTTATTCATTTTAAAACTTATTGTTTCAGCTCCTTTCCTTACTTTAAACTCCACCACAACTTCTTCCCTGTCCTATCTTTAAGTGTTCCTTGACTTTCATGATGCCCGTTTGTTCACTCAAGATCTGGGTTTTCACAGAACCAGATTTAGATTAATTCACACACAGGTGCTTTCTGTGTTGGTGACCTTTGAAGTCAAATGGTATTAGGTGTTTTTTGGGGGGAATCTGAGTAAAAGGGGCTGAGAGTACAAGTGAGTTTTTATTGTACCTGTGGAAGATTTTGGAGTCGATGCATGGAAAAACGTGGGAAAAGTTCAAACGGTTTGAAAAGTTTTGCAAGTCACCATCGACTTTTGGGTTTCGCTTTACTCAAAGTCAGATTCTGTTGTAGCGCTGATGTCGTCTGTCCCTCTTTTCTGTTGTCTCCAGGTAAAAAGAAGATGTCTCTATATGACAGCCAGGCTCCCGTTTGTCCAATTTGCCAAGTGTTGCTGAGGCCCGGAGAGCTACAGGAGCACATGGAAACCGAAATAGAGAGGCTAGCCACAATCTGCCTCAGGTACGACTGTGCAAGCTCGTAATTATGCAGAAAGATTCATTCTTTATTTTGCCCAAGCCAAACCATGACATCGTGTAATGCTAAACCACGCCCAGGTTTTAAAACAGTTTGAGAGACGCACTGTATAAAACACAAAGGTAAACCAGAAAAGAGCATTGAAGACAACGGTTGGTGTTGGCGACATTTAACCTGTAAGGCGTGGGCTTTGGCTCAGTTCAGCTCGGTTCGCCGAGCAATATTTCTCCGGCATTTTGGTGCCATAAATCTGCATAAAAAGGGAGAAGCATGCCGTCAATGTAAAGCTAAGTGTTTCCTACTGGGATTAGGATTCACACCTGTGACCTCGTGTTCCCCGCCGCCTCTTTCTCCTCCTCGTGGCAGTTGCACGAGCCGTTTTATGACAGATAAATCAACTCCAAGCCCTTTTAACGATGGGACACAGCCATTAGGATCCATATTTCAACCTCAACACATGCCAGGCTATGTATGCGTGTTTGTATGTCTGCGCATGTTGCTGCCACAGCCCCACTTGTCAGCGTGTGTGTTTGTGTGACCTCCTGTGCACTTTGGCGGCCCAGCTTTATGATAGTCCCCATTAACCCGGAGAAACGGGGCAACTGACTGCGTCACCCCGCATGGAAATCACTCTGTATTTCTCCAACCTTTACACTTGTGGGCTTCTGCTGTCCCTCTGAATCTATGAGTTCCACCTCATCCCTTTATTTCTCTTTGTCCACAATCACCCTCATCATCTGGTTCTGGTTTCTTAATATATGTATATAAATCTGTCATCTCATCTCCAATACTCCCTGTCATTTTTTAAGGTTTTTTTGCCTTCTCTTTTTCATCCAGGCACAACACAGGCATCTCTAAGAACTTTTGCTCTTAATCTCCACCATCTATTGAACACAGGACAATGTTCCTATGTCTCCATGTCCTTTCATTTCTTATGTATTTCTTTACTGTTTCTTCTGTTTTTTTAATGTCTCCTTCCTTGTGTGCTGCTTTATTTTATTGTATTTATTTTTATCTTTTTTTGTGTGTCCTACCTTCTTTCCTTTCTTGTGTGTTTTTGTTGTAGTTTCTGTGTTTTTATTCAAAGCCAATGCGGTACAGAAATATATGCCATAAATTCATGGTGACCTGTGGTATCTTATATTTTAAAGTTAATTTAAAAGGGACCATGCTTTATTTTTTCTGCGATCATGGGTATTTACAATAACAGCATGAACTAGAAAAATTTGAGAGAAAAAAATCTTCATAAACTCTGCGAAATTACGAGAGTAAAATAGTGATGCATGGATAAAATCAATTCTTTTATTAAATTGAATTTGAAGATGATGTATTTGATGGAATTAAGCTGTGAGTTTTAAGGTTCTGGTTAAAAAGCAGTTTATATCCTATCTGCAGTAGAAAACTCTCTTGATGTCTTCATTTTTGCTATAAACCCAGATTAGTAGATGCCGAAGCTATTGACCAGCAAAAGAGGAGCTGAGAAAAAAGTGAGCTTTTTGGGATTTGCAACATCTTCAGCTTGAAAGACACCACAGCTGTTTATGCAAATAGCATTTTATGATCCTTCAAACCGTTTTCACATTGGCAATTGAATGGTTAATATACACAGGAAATAGAGATTGGAGGGAGACCGTCACCACTGATGTTCCTGTTAGAAACGCTTAGTAAGAACAGAGCGCGTACATTGACACTGTGACGTATAAAAACGTGCACTAAAATCAGAAATATAATCATGGTTGTAGTGAAGCTTTTTTTTTGTATATTTTTGCATTGGCTTACTATTTAACGCAGCAGTTGGTTCATGTTCTGTTCTCAATATGTGTTGAAAAAAATACTACCGTAATCGCACACTGCATTTTCCATTTTCACTCCAGTTACTATATAAATATTGCTGTGCTAATTAACTACTAGTGCAAATCTGGCAACAACTCACAGCTTTATAAAATACCTTTCAAACATGTTAGTGTTTGACCTTGTTGAGATTAGAGTTAAGAAAGTAGAAGCATGCTTTGTTTTTGGCCTGTCTTTTCTCTTTGGCTAGCTGTTAGCTTTAGCTTTCAGGACTGCCAATTCTAATTTTGAAGTTGCCAAGAGAGTAGTGTACTTCAGATATGAAAGTAATTGTCTATATCACTTTAAAAATTCTGAACCATTCATCGATAAAGTTTTAATTTTTTTTGGACATTGTCATAGGTAACAATTCATCTCCTTTAGCAGGAAAGGCTAACAGCTAGCCAGCCAGGGTCCTTTGTTTTAGGTAGATTTCAGTATATAAAAAAATGTCAAACTAAAATGTTTATGGTTGTGGGATAGAATGCTATATTATTAGATACTTATACGTTTTAACAACACAATGGTTTTACTTTTGTTGCTCCTCTGTCAGCTGAACAGCTGATTGACACATTTTTATGCTAGTTAAAAATTAAACAAACGTACCTGAAGAAAATAATAGCTCGTAAAACCTAGGCACTTTGTACAAAAGAAATGTTAGGATTCATTAAGTTTGAAGGAGTTTTCATTGTCAGTGATAGACTTCTTTTATGGAGAAGTTGGAGGTTAAAGTAGCTGCAAGCTTCAGAATTTACGCTGTAATTTTCAGAGGGACAACAAAAACTTTCCATGTGTCACCCCAAAACCTTCTGCCTCTTCTTCAGTTCCCTTAACCTTTTTTTGCATTTCTGAAGCTAATATGCATAGAGTGCAAAACAACAAGAACTGTAAAAAACAGTTTCAAAGTCTTTTAACTTTAGTTTTACCACATTTAAAATAAAAAAAGACTCTGCCTTCATCAGAGTCTATGCTTGGCTTGTTGCCATTGTGATAGAATAGTTCCAATCCAAATATCAAAAAATTTATGAAAATGTAAGGATGAGAAAAAAAGATGCATCAAGATAAAGTGAAACTGGGAGGAAACGTATTCTCTTGTTAAACTTTAGGATGCAGGTGTATTTCAATTAATGATGAAGGTTAGAGTTTGTCCTTCCCTCTGGATACCAAACTGGTGAAACACACACACACACACACACACACGCATGCACCCTCACACACACACACAAACACGCAGTTATTTAAGGAAATCACATCATCCCTGGGTGAGATGGGATGGTGGCTAGCGTCACGCCTGGCTGATTTACCTACTCACCATTAACCCAAAGACACACTGCAAGAAAAAAACGGATGATGGGGGAGGAGGTGTTAAACGATATAGATACAGTGGACCATTTTTAAACATGTGCTGAAGAAAATAATAATAATAAGAAAAATCCATTGTTTTTCATATAGAAAACAACAAGAGGGTTTGTATGTGTGTTACATCACACCATGCAGAGAGCTCCTCTCTCCAGCTCTCTGCATGGTGGCAGCCATAATTGAAAGTGACGGAGGGAATTTGGCCCAATTTGTAGTAAATCTACCTTTAATGACACACAGGCGGTTGCTGAATGAAAAAAAACAAACCCATGGATATGGAAACGAAGAGACGCGTGCTGCATCTTGCTCGGCTCTTAATGCCTGTTCTCCAGCGTGTCGCTATTTGTTTTCTACTTCTTCCGCTCGCTGTCCTGTTCTGTCTGCATGTAAATGGTTGTGGGTTTGATTACAACTGCCTTCCCGCCTGCCTGCCTGCCTGTCTCCTCCCTTGCGGCTGTGTCACTTGTTCATGGGCCGCAGCATCTGCGCGGACATGGAAATCGCGCACAGATGTGGAGCTTGGCAAATGGAAATCTATCATGCCCCGTACATGTCAGGTGGCTCGGGGAGGGTTGGGGGACAAAGTCATTTACATACCCCGTCATACTCCACCCTCCTCCTTCTCTTTTTCCCACCTCTGCTGCCCCCTTCCTCTCCCTTCTCCTTCTCCATAATCAATTTACGTCCACACAGCCAAAACCCCTACCTCCCTGCCAGATGACACAAAAAAGAAAAAGGCAAAAAACAATCAGCGTCTTGAATTTACTGTGCCATGAACCTTCTTGTTTTCACCAAGAACAACCCGATCGCTTACGTGGATCGTAGGGTGGCTGTCGGTCATATGCAGCGTCATTCCCGTGACCTTTTTTTTAATATACATTTTCTCCCATTACAACCACAAACACGAGTGAATTTCTGTTTGCGCTTAGAGATCCACAGCTCCGGATGGAGTATCTGTCAACAGGGTAACTAGTCATTGTTGCGCACCATCCAAATCTGGCCTTTATACAAGTGTGGCAAGAACAAAGCTGCTTTTCAAAGGAAGCTATAAGAACCCAAGTATGGGACATGCAGGAGCATCTCTGGTCAGATGAGAGCAAAACTGAACTTTCTGGCCAACGGAAGAAAAAACACCCAACCCAACCCACCCTGAACACACTGTCCCGTTGCTACACATGGTAATTTGAGGGGCAGGGAAGCTGGTCTTTGTCAATGAGTTGATATTGTCTTATTAGTACAAAAAATAAAATGCAGGTTTTTGGTTGTAAGAGGTTTTTAGTCTGTGGGTAGAGCAGTCGTTTTGTGATCAGAAGGTTGTAGGTTTGATTCCAGCTTCCTCCTGCAACATGTCAATGTGCCCCTGGGCAAGGCACTTAACCTCAAATTGTCTACCGATCTGCGTATCGGTGTATAAATTTGTGTGGGTGAATGGGACTCTAGTGTAAAGCACTTTGAGTGGTCAAAATGATCGGAAAAGCGCTATAAGTTAAGTCCATTTACCATCAAACACACCAGAGGATCCTTCACGCTTGCTTTTATTTCTATTTGTAATCTTGTAGTTGGTATAGTCAGACAGCACAAGAAAAATGTCCCTGTAAAGGACAAAGACCTGTAAGAAGTAGGAGGAAGAGAGGGACCCCCCCATGCCCTCACCTGTCCTCAGTTTCACACTTCCCTCATTATCAAAACAAATTTTAAACTATCTGTTCCAGCTGCTTGTTTGGCGGGGTTTCTGCCTCCTGTGTTTCTTTCTTTCTTTTTTTTTTTTTTCTTTTTTTTTTTTACATGCCAGCCAG